AGAGAAGAGAAGAGAAGCATCAGAAAAAATATGGATAAGGACATTTAAATGGGGGGGGGGAGACATAAGAGCTGTACTGATCAGACCAACAGCTGATCTTGTCCAGTATTCTGTGTCACACAAAGGCCAATCAGATGCTTTCAGGAATCTCATAAGTGTGGGCAAAAGGGCATCTAGACCTTTCCGTTGTCACTCCCCAGTTACTGGTGTTTACGATATGGGCCTGGGACTCAACCATCGAGACTAGAGGCCATTGATATCCTTTGTAAATTCATTCATTCCCATTTTAAAATAATCTAGATTACTGGTCATGGTAATTATGGCAGTGAATTCCATAATTTAACTTTGTTTAATTAAACAATGTAGTATAATTAATTTAGTATTTAGTTTCAATTAATGAACCCATGTAGTGGCATAGTGTGTGTGTGTGTGTGTGTGTGAGAGAGAGAGAGAGAGAGCGCAGCTGCTTTAAAGAATCAATTCATTATTCACTAATATTAATATGACTTTTAAAACAGCCACACTTTTCCCCCCAACTTTCATGGAAGTCTGAAAAAGGAGGACTCTGAACTTAAGAGCAGAGAGGTGTTGTGCTCCCATTCATATGAAGTAGAAAGCAGCTAAGAATTTCCACACACACCAAAGCATCCACACATCCCTAGTAGTGATGGTTACATATTTTCTAACAGGGCCCAGGAGGACAGGCAACTGGCTGAAGTATACTGTCCAGTTTGTCAGGGACAGGCTTGGCCCAGTGACAGACATGATACAATGGGGCAGTCTTTGACATCTGCTCTTACCCTCAGCCACCAGAACTCTCTGAGCACCTGACACAAAGTGTTAAACACTCCCCCATGTCCAGCAGTTCTATTGCAATGGTAGAGTTGCAATGTTTCTTCCATTATAGGAAGGTGAACACATGAATGAGGGCCATTGTGAAACAATTGTCTGTCAGAGAAGAGAGAAGATAGTCCATCTGAGCCCCGACATATGGATAATCTAATCTGATCCAACAGATCTGCGTCCCTGTTTCTAATCTTTCCAGAACATTTCTATTTGGAGGAGGGGCAACTCACAGTCTTCTCATTCATTTGGACTTACAGTATTTCCAAATGAAATACTATATCTAATGTTTCTACTTGTTGAGCAATTCTCATTGTTCATTATTTATACTGTATCTTTTTTCTTTCTAGGAAATTATTATCTTGAGTGAATTTTCAGAATGCTGCACACAATGTAAGCACACAATTCCCACTAAAATGTTTCAGAATCTTACACTGCAGCATACTATATACACACTTGTGCTTCAGTTGTTTGGGATAGTCTAAATTAAAATGACTTCATTTCAACAATCAGTTTATCTGTATCTCTTGAGGCAAAACTACTTTCAGTTCTCACTTGATTTGTCAGCTACTACTTTTTCCTTTTCTTTCTTTCTTTCTTTCTTTCTTTCTTTCTTTCTTTCTTTCTTTCTTTC